ATGATAATGTTAGCCTCAGCTAGCTCTGGTGTGGCTGCTGCTGGTTCAGTAACGGTTGAGCACAGCTGTTGAACTGAAGGGTGTCAGTGCTGGTGAATGTCAGCAGCCACTATTCTCTCTCACCTGAGGACTGTTCGGGAGGAAGGCCTCGGGTGTGTGGAACTTTCCCCGGGTCACTAAACTCTGGACAGACTGAACACAAACAGCTTCTGGACCAGAACCTCCTCGGTCTCCTCCGTCACTCTGCTCCGGACACGGTGACGAGCTGCACCTGACGCCGCTGCACCTGCGGCTAACTGCGCACTGCTCTGACGTCACCGAGCAGCTAACACTGATGCTAACGCTAACGTGTCACTCTGTCGTCACCACAGCCTGAGATGCTCTGCTGTCCCCGTGTCCCCGTGTCCTCTGTTTGAAGACAGGGCATTAAAACAGATTCATGTAATGTGTCATGTTATCTCTTTTCTATATATTCTGTGGGGACATCATACTTCACACCGCGTGGCCAATATACTATGTACTGTGCATATAGTATTGTATCTTGCTGTATTTATTGATATCTTCATAGTATTTATAGTTTGTATTGTACGTTTTATCCCTTTATTCTATTCTAATGGGAATCTATGCCATTGCTTTAAACAGATTTCTTTGTACTGGTGAATTGTTTTATTTTCTATTTATATGTCTAGATATATAGCATTGATATATAAAATGATAAAATAATCATATATTTATAGGTATTTAAATAAACATTAAAATAATCTTAATAACAATAATACATTATTACCATTGTGCTTTTACACTTTAGTTTATATACTAGCCATTTAGCCACTTTGCCTTTTTGATTCATTCATACATCTGCAGAAATAATCTCCCCCGTATCGATATCATGTTGACAAAACATTCATCGTAACAAGAAGTAATAAGGACACCAATAATCATTTATAAAAAAAATAATGCATCTCTCTGATCCTCATTTTTCAAAGGGTTACAAACAATAAAGTAACACACACAGTATTAAGTGCCAGGCTCGCCACGCTACAAGTCAAAACACAATTGTGACTACAGAATAATGCAGAAGTGCGAATAGTTTTCAACTCAGAGCCGAAGTGTACTAGCCACCAGTCTCTGTCTCCTTCTCACTTAAACAAATGACCTTTGAGATACGGATCACCTTTAGTCCTCTTGTTATTCATAATAGAGAGCAGAGCAGACAGACACTGTCTGTAGTAAGCAAACATCAGTCACTTGAACTAACTGTTCACATTACAATTAAATGACCTCCCAAACACACTGCAGATTATGAGGAATGGCACCTCGGTTTTATGGCTGCAAATTTCATGTTTAAACTTCATTAATTATGGATCATTAGATGTTGAATAAAAATCCATGTTGGACAAACTTTGCTTAAGTGCAGCTAAAGCATTTAATGAATATATTGTGTGCTTAACCTCTTTCAAGAACATTCACCTGAAAATCACCGATGTATCACACATTTCTGCTCTGCTCTGTCATTCATTCATCACTGGCACTTAACTATAACAACTCTAAAACCATATCAATGCTGTTTAACAATAACATTCCTCCTCACACGATACAGATCTGTGGATAAATAGGTTTGTGATCAGCAAATAAAAGCAGCAGCTCACAAGACTGTGTTTGATAAGAAACTCAATCTTTAGAGCAGATATGATAAAGAGCGTTGAATTGCAAAACGTATTCACATTTTATGATAAATCTGCCAAACATAATGGGTGTTTTGATTTAAGACAAGGTTTCTTCAGATGATGAAATTACTGTCATGATTATTTTTAAATCACAAAGCTAAAAATAAAAGTCTACAACACTAATGCAATCAATAAATGCTATAATAAATAGGTACACAATAAATGAGTGTTTTAAAACCTGTGATTGTCGAGTGAAAAAAGGCTTGTTCCCAGACATTTTTTTATTTATTTATATAGCCCAAAATCACAGCTATTAAAAATCACAGTCTGTTTTGTAAAGTCACATGGTTATTTTAAGGATACACTGGGATGACTTTACCCTCTTGCTGCTCTATATGATGTCATCATTTACTCTGGTATGCGGAGGGGTAATATTTCTCCCTTTCTGCCAAACCAGCTCCACAGAATTCCTTTAAAAGGACTTCAGCGGCCTGTTTTATTGCATGTCATGTTGTTGGAAGTTCAAGAAAAGAACATTATCACAAAGTACAGAGAACAAAACAACAGAAAAGTTTTGCATTAGCTCTCTCCCTGAACACTGTGGGGTTATTCTTATGTCCTTGGCTGTGTTGAGTATCTACATCCTGGGCCCAAAGCCCAAATGGTGTTGCTGTGATGTAATCATGCCCATTGACTTGTTAAACAAACACACAGCTTTCAGTGTTTCTCCTCTAAAGACTGGTTTGCTTTAGCTGAGACCAAACTGTACCAGTGACTGCCACTTTGCTTGGGAGCCGTGCAAATGGTACTGTGTTGTTATTAGCAGCTCTGAGTGTGAAAAGGCAGAGACTACATGTGGTTTTATTCTGCTTGTAATAGATATTACCCCCAACCTTTTGTCTGGACAACATTTACACAAACTACACTGCATGTCAGGAAAAAATCCCATAGTCTTGCATATAGGGTAAACTGCTTATCGTAAATTATAAGCAAATCTTTCAAAGTCCAGAACTTTTTTGGAAGTATGTTATGATGTAATCATCGCCAAAAAAGGTGAAACACAAATTACTTTAATTCGATTTTCCTTTTTAAACAGCTTCCCTGATTAAACTAAGCAAATACCTTCATGTGAGCATATTTCATCTTATTAAAATGTCTGCAAACAAACATGGAGATACATCTTGAATTATCTATTTTGGGCATCTTAAAAGTGGGGATAAACAAGAGAGGACATATCGTGGCTGCACCCAGGAGTGAATAATGGTTTCCTCCCTTAAACTCAAGAGCCGTGTTGAGATCTCTGCAACAGCCAGAGTCCTGGCTTCCTTTGCTTCTGACTGCTTTGTTACAAGGTATGAGAAACAGGGGACGTGCCCAGCCCTGAGTCCACTTTACTGGACAAAAAGAAGTGATCCTGGAGTGAATGCTGGTGTTATCCGGACACCCTTGCAAACAGTTTTTAAACCTGGGAAGCAGGCTAATCAAGAGTCTCAGGCTGTCATTGGGATTTCTCAAGACAACACCCTTAAGTAGCTCTGGGAGTGCTTGTCATTTCCTGTCCAGCAGCTGTTATGGTCACACTTTTCTTTACCTTAAAACTGCTGCAAACAACCATAAGAAGTTAAAGACAGTTTTACCCATCTGAAAAGCAGAAGTGGTGTTCCTCGAGTATAAATAATTCTGACAATAATACCACAGCAACCAGAAACACCACCTACTGAAAAAAGTAATCAGTGGTCAGTTTAATTCTATGCAGTCATTCAATTAGTTGATAGGAACACCAGCCAACCTACACACACATGTCCTTGTTTGATGGCAGAGACTCTGATAACACTTCTTGCCAAACACCAAATAAGCAAACAATCACAAGCAAGTGAAAGGCACAATAAAAAGCCACACTACTATTGGCTGTTGAGAGGCAACATCATCCGGAAAGTTCAACCGCAGACAAGATTTTAATTAACTAATGAATAGAAAGCACAATCAACACCAGCCAAATATATAATTTTTCAGTTTTTCATCCCAGAAAATAACTTTCAACCACTGGTTTCAACAGATTCTGACAGCGTGCTGACACTTACATGTACTCAACACATTCGCTAATACGGTTTAGGTTTGTTACGTACAAGACAGTGAAAATCAGAAGGTACCTAATTATAGATTCAGATGTCCTTGCTAATAAGCGACACTGTTTACACATGTACAGCAGTAGTTGAGGAAATCAGTCACAGTATTAGCTGTCAAACTAAATGTTACACAACACCACCATCAACACTACACCACACCTCCCAAGACTTATGATCTCATTTCTAGGCAAAGAATGCAGTGAAGGACTGGCTTAATGACGCCAGAGCAGCAATGATTCAGACTCAGACTCCAGCAGACTCTTCACTCTACATTTATTATTCAACCAGTCCAAGACAATCCAGCAGCTGTAACTTCACTGAGTGTTTATGTAGTTTTGAGTTGTTATCTAATAGACGCCGTCCTCCAAAGAAGTTCATTTCTCGTGCTGATAAAACTGTTCAGGCTGACCGAGGACAAATTGTATCAATCACACACACGCACATTGTTTTATAAAACCGCCACAAGTGAGTCATCCAGTAACTTGACTTTGTGTACATATAAACAATACATATTGAAGCCCAACTGTCACAACAAGAACGCTCGTCAAAGAACTTTTAAGGAAATGCACTGATGGAGATAATCACATGATGCACTGAGTGCTTTGAAAAGTGAAGCACTCAGTGAAACAGTATCTCTTTTCCTCAACTCTTAGCAGCTATTAGCTGCTCTGCATCGGGCTGCATTAAATAGTAATAACAACGTCGTTAGCCTCGTCCAGCGAAGCTCAGCAAGTTGACAGCATGCTGTCCACTACCTGGCCAGACTTCATGTTTACAGTTCAAATGATCATGAGTTCTATACGAGTTAATAAACTTAGAATTTTCGTAGAACATTGTCATTACTTTTAACATGTGGTTCCCCATAAAGTTTGTGTGTAATTAATCTCACTTGTATCTGTATTTGAAACCTTTATGACATCGCTGCCCATCTTTACCAGGACTCCCTGGCAAAAAGCAATATTATTTCCTAATGGGGCCAAGTAAGGATAAATAAATATATATATATGAACACATATAAGACTAGAGGAAATGTAATGCAATGGGCCTTTTAAAGCCATTTTACAAACAGTAAAAATGCAGAGTTGTGAAAGTGTGGAGCAGTGCAACTTTCTTACTCTGAACACAGTTGAGAGTGATGTTAACCCCTGCTTGACTACACAGGATGTGAGAGTTGACTGCTCAGCGTGGACACAGTCTTTACACCTACCAGCTTTTTGTTTTTGCCCTCATCCTCGCCGGATTTCTTTTTAGAGGGTTTATTCGGGTCCTCTCCACCGCTGGCTTGATCCATGCCTGCTTGAGTTTCAGTTCCCCCTCCTCCCGAGTTGACTTCACAAGTGACCTCCACAAAAGTTGGCAAACTCCACCGGCGCGGTTTTAAATACACGTACACAGCAAAGCATCCAGGTTAAGTCTTTTCGAAACCCATTCCGATTATTTTTTTTAAAAAAGGGGAAAGAGTATAAATTCACGTTGATCACTTCCAGAGCAGCTCCCGCTGAGGATCCAGCAGCAGGGGCGGCAGCTCTGAGGAGGAGAAGAGGTGTGGTAGGATATGGAGTCCCGTCCTGATGGCTCCTCGGTTCAGCAGCGAGCCTCTTCCCTGAAATCACATTAAACACCATGTCGACAACTAACTTCTCCATCTGTCTGATAGTTGATGTTTGCTTTAACACGTGTTTCCCCTGTGTTCGAGTGCAGAGAGCAGACACCTTCGAGCACGACATATCGTGAAGAGGTAAAAGAAGATGTAAACAAACCCTGTCAGATGTGAGTGTGGACGGATCCGTGCAGAATGAAGCCCGTGTGTTTTAACACTTGTAAGGACAAAGACAGCTCTGTGTTTGGAAACAGGCTGAAGTGACACAAGGAGCAAACTTGCAGCCGTGTAACTTAGCAATAACGTGGTAGTAACCGAGCCAAAGCATTTCCTGTCAACCCCAAATGACAGTTTTTAATGTGCTCTCACTAAATCGCCATTAACCACACATACATATCATCAACAAGGGATCATACACATGTGTATAATAAAGGGAAATCACCGTTGTTCTCTCTCTGCTCACTTTGTAGAGCTGCACACTCAGCCCTGCTAGCTTAAATGTGCTGCTACCTGGCTAACGCTGTTTACACGTGAATACACCAGCACGTGCGAGCCCACGGTTTCATTTACGAGGTAAACAATAAATAACAATAATAAGAAAACTCACAAAAACCCCATCCAGGGCTTACCTCTGCAACCAAACGTGACTGTCAGGCCTGCGGTGATTCCGCCCACAAGGGTTTCTGATTGGTCCCTGAAATAGGAAGTGAGCGGGGCCTCCAGTCGCCATTGGGCAGATCGGCCGTCAGTCATAAGGTCGGCGTGGCGTTTGAGGGGCGGAGCCTGTGGTGACGTAGGGGTCAGTCTGATCTCACAGCAGGAGGATGGGACTCAAGACTCAAGAATAGATCTGTGAGTGAATTATGAAAGGATGAGAGGAAGCATGCGTGTGTGTGTGTGTGTGTGTGTGTGTGT